CCGCAGCCCGCGGGTGGCTCCGGGTTCGGTCCTGGAGCTCCGCAGCCCGCGGGTGGCTCCGGGTTCGGTCTGAGCGAGAACGTTTCATCTTCAGTTCCGTGGGGAAGCGCCGAAATCGTCACTTTTCGGAGCAGAAAGGCACCGCTTTTAAAGACAGCGCTGCTTCTTAGAGCTCTGGAGATACCGACTGGGGAGAATCCAGCCCTGGGCCTCTCAAACAAACCGGATGGTGGAGGCAAGAAAACTCCCAATTTATTAAAAATCTTGATTTTTTTTATTAATAAAACACATCCCAGTTTGATCTTCAGTAACACCAAAGTTCTATCAGTGCAGTTTCCTTTTAACACACAGAAATACAGGATCTCAGCTTTCCAAACTAGAAAGATGAGACCACGAGAAAAATACCCGCAGAACTACATCGCTCTCTGTCAAACAATAAATCTTATTTGCTTTTGATTCTTATCTATCTGCTTTTGATTTTTCTTAGCTTAATTTGCAGGCTGAGGCTTCCTGTCAGGGTACTATGGCAAAACTCCACTGTGTATAAATGCTGTGCAATCAAATAATCCAAAAAAACCATACAATGTACCAGTCCATCCCTTTTTCAAAGTGTTCCATACTAATTATAACTAGTATTATTATTAATAGTAGTTCTAGTAATTCTTTACATAGCCTCAGCAAACGTGTTAATAGAAATTTAAATAAACCTCAAGACTGGTCTTGCTAATTTAGGTGATCTGTACTTTAATCCTGTAAGAAAGTGACTTAAAAGGTCACACTAAAAACCTGATTTATTTTAAAATAAAGAGTAAAGTGAATGAACGCAATTTAATTCCATAGGAATGTGGTAAATAAGTTGTGTATACGCACACAAAAATGATGAGGTGAGCTTTGGCAGTTATTCTAACTTGTATAAAGAACTGCCACTAAGTTGAAATTCACAGAACAAGGAAACCAGCAGCAAAGGTGGGAACCAGTCACCCTGCCAAGAGCTGTGTAACACGCTTTTGCGTGGTTATCGCTGGCAGATGATGGAATAATTCATTCAAAGTACACTTTTTTTTAAAAAAAAACATCTTTTTCTTTGTAGTTCATTTTACTGACAGTCAAATTAATTTAGCAACATCACCATTCACCAGTGTTTTCCTTTAAAATGTTCTGTTTTGGGAATACACGAGTTAAAAACTGAGTTATGACCTGTGTGGGCTAACACACCCCGATTCTACAGCGCTTACCACGTTGTTCACGGAGAAGTTTCAGTTCATACGTCTGTAGGATCTGGAAAAGATCTGAAGATCCACCAGAGTGGAAACAACTCTGCTCCTGTGACAAGCAGTGCCACGCATACAGGGCTGTAAAAATCTCACTTGATCCACAAAGCTCAGGGACTTCTTCAGAGGAGGAAAGTTGGTTGAACAGTATCACCTATTGATGTTAAAGTCCATCAAGAACAAGCCCATCAGAGCAGCTTAATAAATATTTTTAGTTCATGGTGGTTTTTGTTCCATTTTTGTTTACTTACATTAATCGCCGTCAATTTGCTTTTTACACATTCAGTGGTTGATAAATAAAGCAGATTTTTAGTCGAGATTATAAATTAACAACCAACAAATTCAACAGTACATTCTTACGTCCTTCTAATCCATCTCAATTCCCGCTTTACCAATAAGCAGGAAATTCTGTCTCAGATTATTCCTGATGCTCGTGCTCCTGCCCCGGGATCAGCCACCGAATGCTCTCCGTGCGAACGGTAGCGTACGTGACAAAGCCAGCCAGGAAAAGCAAGGAGAAGAGAAGCAGCCAGTCGATGCCTTTGGTCAGAACACTAGGCAAGGGGCCTTCCCAATCTTCCTCGGTCACAGCCACGTCACTTTTAGCTTCTATACCTAAAAAAAACCCCAAAAAACACTTCATCAACACCAGTAATAATCATTAAATACAGACAATCTGGTTCTCTTTGCAGCTTTATTCTTGTTCTCAGACTAAGGTGCATGAACAGTTAAGACTTAAAACTTTGGTGACGTGGTCCTTACATGTTAAAATATGTCTAAGCATATAGTTTATTTAGATAAAAACATGATGATTTTCTGTGTATTTTCATAATAAGAGAAGGATTGTTCTGTCCTTCCACAGCACAGCCTTGTGTAAATTTGTAGAGGGTTTTTTTGGGGAGGTTTTTGTTTGTTTGTGGTGTTTTGAATATTTCTGTTGTATTAGCAAATGTAAATTCCTGGCTCTCATAGGCCTATAGATGTTTTTTGTTTCATTTTGTTTTTTCTTTACAGAATCAGAGAAGGAACTGAGAGCTGGCTGCTGCTCAGCTCATAACACAGACAGCCAGATCATGGAAACTGGAATCCTTTTGTCTCCTCCAGCACAAGAACTGAAACCATCTTATCCCCCAGCTGCTGTCAGCTTTACATGGCACTGACAATGATCCCAAGGTTCATCTGCCTTTATTCTCCAATTAAATATTTGGGCAATATTTAGTTTAATATTTAGTTAAACCCCCCTGTTTTCCCCCTATTCTGTGACAGCAGCCCCATGAGTTGAGTTTCCATGTCCAACACACCCTGAAATCCAGCTCATGACAGCAACTGATGATACAAAGCTTGGCGGGTTCTCTCAGGGTCTTCATGAAATTCATTTTAAAGAACAAACAGCAGGGAGAGGGAAGCCCATTTTGGAGCTAAAAGCCAATTTGTTCTTCCCACTGACACATCAGGGCTGATTTACATACCTGTTTGATTAAAAACAAAGTCTTTCAGCGTTTCCAGCGTTCTGTCTGTATGGTTAAATCTAGCCATAGGTTTAGCACCTTGGAAAAGGAGGATATTTGGTACAGCCACAGTTCCAAATCTAGTTGATAAACTGGAGGACATAAAGCAAATACAAAGCATGAAGGAAAATAAAACCACAGGAGGAAAAAAACAAAGATAGTCCTGAGACAGCAAGTGTCGGTTTGACTAAATTAAATTGTCACTTTATATGAAAAACAAACAAACAAAATAAATCACTTGTGTTTTTAAAACACAAAAGCTGCTGCTAATAGAAATAAACTGATGCTGGAGCACAGGAAGGGTGAGTTACCTGCTGTGCTGAGATGCATCCAGTGCCAGGAAGCGAAGAGTTGGAAATGCTCGGGGTAAAGAATTGAAATGAGGTGCCAGGCTGGCAGAAAAGCGGCACCACGGGGTATAGAACAAAACTAAGGTACAGTCACTGCTGTTTGGGTTTAAGAATTCCATCAGGTCCTGAGAGGAAGCAGAAGAAAAACAAACATGGTCAGATTCTAAATTCTGTTCAGGAATGGATCATTCAGCAATCAGTCAGGTACTTGACAATATTTATCAATATTTACACCACCCTCCTGCCTTCAAATAACAACAGCCAGGCAATCTGCTTATCACAGAACCATAGACTGGTTTGGGTTGGAAGGGACCTTAAAGCTCATCCAGTTCCAACCCCCCTGCCAGCAGCAGGGACACCTTCCACTAGACCAGGTTGCTCAAAGCCTCATCCAACCTGGCCTTCAACACTTCCAGGGAGGAGCAGCCACAGCTTCTCTGGACAACCTGGGCCAGTGTCTGACCACCCTCACACCAAATAATTTCTTCCCAATATCTAATCTAAACCTCCCCTCTTTCAGCTTAAACCCATTTCCCCTTGTTTTGTCATTAACTGCCCTTATGAAAAGTCCTTCCCCAGCCTTCCTGGAGCTCCTTCAGGTACTGGGAGGCCGCTATAAGATCTCCCCGGGGCCTTCTCTTCTCCAGGCTGAACAGCCCCACCTCTCTCAGCCTGTCCTCCCAGCGGAGCTGCGCCAGCCCTTGGATCATCCTGGTGGCCTCCTCTGGACTCGTTCTAACTGGTCCATGTTTCTCTTGTGATGGGGGCTTCAGAACTGGACACAGCACTCCAGGTGGGGCCTTAGGAGAGCGGAGTAGAGGGGCAGAATCCCCTCCCTTGGCCTGCTGGCCTCCCTCAATCCACTTACCTGAGACACGTTGAGGATCTGCAGCGTGAAGCGGTTGATGCCAGTGATGTTTCTCTCCTCGCAGTTCACTTTGGGAGCTTTGCTGCTGTCGGTGCTATTCGACTCCTCGGCGGGCAC